AGGGGGCCGGCCGCTCCAGCTCAGGGGTGCCGGGAACCTGGGGATACCCGCACCCCGCCAGCCCCGCGGGAGCACCGTCCCGAAGCCCTTTGTTTCCTGAGGATCCCCAAAGAAGACAGAAACAGCCTTTTATCATCATCTTCCTTCTTTCTGGAAGATGCGAGGCAAGCGATGCCGGTGACAGGTGCTGAGCTCGGGCCAAGCTGCCTGCTGACAGCCGGGAGCTGCAGGTGAGGGACGCCCTTTCGGCAAGAGTCGTTAACCGGAAGGCGCTGGACCGAATTCGTGTTCATGTTTGTCTCGGAGGAAAAGAGAACGGTGAAGTGCTTCAAGTAATGTCCTGAGCACAGTCGGGGGAGGTTGTATTAGCATCGAAAAGGGGACATTGAGAAAGTGTCCACAAAGGAAGAAGGTCACTCTCAAAGGAGAGGAATCCCAGCCTACAGCCATGAAACGACCAGCAGCTTCTGCAGCTGGATCTGTGGCTCAAGACCCATCAATGAGCTGTGGTAGAGATCAGCCCTTGAACTGGGGGATTGCTGCTACCGACTGTCATACTAGGACTGAAGACATAAGACAGCTGGTGTTAGACAGTCAGGACACAAAGCAGTATCTCGCATGCAGATGTTCCTTTCCATAACACAAATAATTTGCTTTTATATAAATACTTTTCTTCTGCACATTTCAGATCGCTTTGCAAAGGAAGAGAGCAGTATAACGGAGGCAAAATGACTTGATTAAAATTGTACAATTAGTTAGAAAGTCTCCCAATTCTTACTATAGTACTCTAGCCACTGTAGCACATTTCTTCCATACAAGCCCAAACCAGTGGGAGTTGTAGAGAACATGTTAATGCAAACTCACACCTACTTACTTCAGAGAGTTCAGTGACTATGAGGCCTGAAAGCCCTAATAGGTACATCTCTGGCACCAGCAGCCATTTTCAACACTGTGTCAATTAACCCTATGGAGAAGCATTTGCCAAGCTGTTTTTATTAGTGACAGAGGAGACTGGATATTCAATGGCCTGGTTGTCAAAGGTGATGAACACACACAGCTTCCATTGACTTAAACATGACATGAGAATGCTCCAATCTGGAAATCCAGACATTAGTTTGTAAACTCTTCAAGTCACCAACTATGTTTGCATAGTGCCTAACACAATGGGGCCTGATCTGACTGAAGCCTCCATGCACTACTATAAGAGGCTATATTTCTTAATTAAATATCACAGTTCTACAATTCTGTTTGCAACCTCTAAAAAGGGCACAACCTTTTTTGGTTTGGGGAAGAGTTGGGAGATGGAGGCAAAGTATGTTATCACTTAAATGTTTTGCTGTAAAAAAATAACTTTTTAAAAAATCCAAGCATAATAGTTAATATATAGCAGAGGTATCAAACTTATTCAGTCTGCTGGCTGTGGGGCTGGTCTGCAGGCTGAACCAGACCTACAGACTGGCCCTACATTCCAGCACATGTCCTGGAGCAGCCAAAGAGGGTGCTGTGCATGGTCCAGTCCTTCTCTGGCTGCTCCTTGGACGTGCTGCACAGCTCTGAAGCTGCTGCTGCCACTGGGCTGTGCTGCATGCCCTGGAGCAGGGGCTGCACTCCATGCAGCAGCCACTCTCTCTCTCCAGGGCACAAACTGGAGCAGAGACCATCCAGCAGGCCCCGGATGCTACCTGTGGGTCATTCTGAGACCAATGGGCAGCACTAGGAGGTGTATATTAACCTAGAAGGTGTGCAACTCCTTAAAATCTAATCCTAATGGTCTGTATGAGCACACCCCTGTGGCTATTCATAGCCCCACTGAAGTCATAGCAAACCCATGCATCAGAGTCTTAGGATCATGGCCAACATTTAAACAAATAATCAAAGGTATGATTTATCTTCTAATTTTTAAATGGTAACTTCAGGTTTATATGCACAAAATGTAGCTGCCAGCTTTGACCATGTACATTCATTCAAATGATGCATCACACCCCATTAGGCACAAATAGTGCAGGGACTTGGAATTATGTGATTCCATCAGAAAAGAGATGGTGTATATTATAAAGGAGGCCAAAAGTTTCATCATAACCAAAAATGTAGACGGGCACTTGCAGAAAAAAAGCTCTGAATGCTGGTGCACCCTGAATTTAACAATACTTCAATTAGTGTTAGATTTATTTACAAGATGAGGACTTCCTGTAAAAAGTATTTCTACTATTGCTTCAACTCTTGGAATCTCCCTACATGATAGACACTCTATAAACAAACAGAATTAGAGAGGTAAACCTGGAAGTGATCTCAACAATGTCAGAACCCATTAATTAGATGCCTATAGCACAAAGGAGAATTGGTATAGCCCAGAGGAGAAATGACATAGCACAGAGGAAAATTCCATGGGTTCGATACATATGGCATAGTTTTGCTGTCAATCATTCTGGTGGCAGTAACTAGGTCATGGAGGAAAATTCCGCTATGCCTGAACCCAGTAACGAAATGCTACAATAGTGGAAAATTACAGTTTAGAAAGAAGTTCCCGCCACTCATGCAAATTCACATTATTATTGGCCAGTTTTAAATTATTCCTACGTGGCAACTAGCGATTGGCTTGCTAGCCATATAAGAGGTTGAAGCAGTTTCCGCCCAAGTTGGAGAACTCCACACACCTCGTGGAGAACTCTGAGTACACTGTGGAGCCTAGCAAACTCCACACGTGTTTCAGAGCGAACTTAGCGGCCAGATCAACCACTAAGGACTCCCCGTCACCGACCCAAGGGGGCCTAGCACACCCCCACCCAAGACGTAAGACGACTGCCGGCCTGAATACCCCGAACACCCCGACACATTTGCAGACCGACCAAACCAACTTTGTAATTTCTGCCCGACCCAAGTTTTACAACTGTAATCGAAGCAAGTTTCTGACCTGCACTGTACGAGCAGTGTAAGTAAACAATCTTTTGTTCAATCCCAACGGTTGAGTACCTGATTCCACTCCAAGCGTCACAAGTACCCGCCCGCCGATTAGGGCTCCTAAAGCCCCGAACCCCGCGCCGCGGCTCTCGGCGGCGACAAAGAAGTCTAATTCACTCCCCGACCAAGATAGGATCCAGTATGCCTAAAACATTTCTGGTAGATGTCTAACCTGTTCCACAACCTCCCTGGGTAATCTATTCCAGTGCTTAACTAATAACTACCCTTACAATGAGAAGATTTTTCCCTAAATATCCAATACGCAGTCACTGCTGCAGAATTTGCATTCTAAACAGACACATTAAGCCCTGGACTAATACCTTAAATCACAAGGATTCCTCCTCCTATGTTAAGATT